CGGGCCCCCGCGCTGCCCCACGCCGCGCCGCGCCGGCGCCGGGCGGCAGGATGGGCTGTATCCAAAGCATCACCTGCAAGGCGCGGATCCGGCGCGAGAACATCGTGGTGTACGATGTGTGCGCCACCATCGACCAGTGCCCCACGCGCATCGAGGAGACCTCGCCCATCGTCCTGCGCTACAAGACCCCGTACTTCAAAGCCTCAGCTCGCGTGGTCATGCCCCCCATCCCCCGCCACGAGACCTGGGTGGTGGGCTGGATCCAGGCGTGCAACCAGATGGAGTTCTTCAACACCTACAGCGACCTGGGCATGTAAGCAACCGGCCACGCCACGCGGCTCCGGAGCGGAGTCCTGGCCCCTACCTCTGCTGTCCACCCCATCCCTTTCCTAGCCCCTTCTTACCGCTGTCCCCATCTCTTTCCGAACCTTCCTCCTGCCTCCCCACCCACCTCCCTCCTCCCTGCGCTTTTGTTTCAGTGACAGGGCGGGTGACTGGAGCCTCCTCGCGAAGGCATTTTCTCCTGCTTTGCTTCTGACTCCCCTAGAAACGCGAGGAGAACCGTGCGGGGCGGGAAGAACGCTACTGGGAGGGTTCGAGGGGCAAAGATTGGGGTGGCCTCCCAGTGCCCCGGGAGTTTTCGAGGCGCCGTCTGTGTTTCTGGGGCTCCCCGGGAAGAGTTTGAGGTAAAGCGTGGAGAGAGGAGTTGAGTGCCGGGGGCGCATGGGCCGTGCCGCGTGTCCTTTGGAGAAAACCTACCCAGCTTGGAAGAGAAGGTCCAGGGCGGGTATTGCCGGTCCTGCCACTGCTCCCCAGGCCAGCGAGCCTGGAGGCATCTTGTTCTGGAAGCACCAGCAGGGCAGAGCTGCCTCTCTGGCTGCGCACCCCGTGGAACAGTTCTGGGGTGGTGGGGAGCTTGGAAGTCACCGGATGCTCCCCGGCCAAGCGGAGCTGGTGGCCTTATGCTAAGCAGTCTGCTGGCGCGGCGCGAGGTGTTTCTTAGGCTTAAGGAAAGGACGAATTCATTCATCTGCCTAGGGTCTTTACTTTTCAAAACTTTCCTAATTGCGATGCTGGAAGGAATTCCGAGGCGCCCACCGCGGAATCCTGTAGTCAAGCTGGGAGCTCTCCAACTTCTTTCAGCAGCGCCGGTTGGTGCGCGCAGAGGGTTTGGCAGTGCACAGAGATCGCTGTGGCTCCTGGCCCCCAGGGGCTGACATCTTGCCCTGGAACGGAAGGCTTTGAGAGGTCACGTTCAAGACTTTTTTTTATTTACTAAATTTTCGTTACTACCCTCCGGTCCCGCTTTAGAACTAGACTTTAAGCACTTAGCAACTCCGATGGCTAAGATATTGGGGCCTGCATTCTACCTGCTGATCCAGGATAGTTCTAGAACATCTTGATTAGCCTGTAGCCTATAGGGGATCTCTTTTATTGGAAATGCGGCCTCATTTCACTTCTTAATCTAAAACTGTGGCACTCCCAAGGTTTACCTATTTAATATGGGTATGGGGTGGGGATTTTCATTTTAAAAGGTCAAACCATCTTTTTAGCAGCGGTTTTCAGTTTTTTTCTTGCACTCTGAGAGCTTGTAAGTTAACACTAGTCATAGGCGCTAAAAGGAATTTTGACAGATCGTTTTGTTTCCTTCTTCCTCCCAGAGTTTGCAGTTTGCTCTTGAAACATAAAAGCTCAATGTTAGAGAAAGCTGATTGGTGAAGAAATCTGAATCCCAGTTTGCAATATGCCTCTGCACACTGTGTTCATGCCTTTCTGGAAGATGTAACAAATGGGGGACACATTATTTTGGGTGAAACATGCTGTAAAAAAGACACACCCTGAAAAGAATGATTATATCTCAACACATGTGGTAATAACTGATTCTTTCTGACCAAGTCAGAGGAAGCCACAGTCAAGGGACATCCATCTCATGCCACTGGCCCTGCCCTGATGGCAATAGGTAGACTTGCTAGGGGACAGTCACCAAGCCTGAAAGTCCCTGATAAAGGAAGCCTGAAGAGACCCAGCAAAAGCAGCCCCATTTCCCCAAGACTGCACAGTGGAACCCTCTGTGGCCTCAAATCCTTTATATATACAGTTCCTTCAGTAACAATATAAAATACATTCTGTCAGGCCAAAAATAAATATTCTACAAAAGAAATCAAGTTGAGCTATAAACAGACTTAATAGTGGAACTTCCTTGAATCTAGAAGAGGGTGTGTCCACATTGGAACAATTTTCAGAAGCATAAATTCCTAATAATATATTCCCCTGACATACTCTACTGAATTCTTGCATTTGAAACTTGGAAAGATTGTTTCTTTTTAACTGCTATTTTCAATATTTAAAGATTGCTGCTTTCCGTGTTGTTAGTGCAGGGAAGCAAAAATAGTCCCCAAGGAATCATAATATTTATTACTCTAGATCTGTGTTCAAAGCCTCCCTATCTTTTCACAGTTGTAATAATTGCTGTGTGCTTAAGACAATACTTTGGAACCCAGATTTTACTGAAGCAGTTTCCACAAAATGTTTACATCCTAAAAACTTTGCAGTATAAACAGTGTAAACTTTTTCACAGGAACTCATACCACATGGAAGTCGATGCAGTCTGTTAGTTGTTATGTCTACTTCAGTGGGTACCTTGAGTGGAAAAAAACACTGAAGGCTGAATTTTTATTCCTGTACAGTATTCTGTTGCATCAGCATGATGGGTTAGAAAGGTGTCTTTTTAGTATTTTGAAAAAGATTGTGCAAGACAAAATTCATAACTTAAAATGGCAAGAAACCTCTACTTACAGGATTAAAAGAAAACATGACCCAAGTGTGGTAGTATGGGCCTTTTATTCTGGTACTGGGGAGGCAGAAACAGGCAGAGCTCTGTGAGTTCAAGACTAGCCTGGTCTTCAGAGTGAGTTCCAGGCCAGTCAGTGCTACACAGTCAGACTTTGTAGAGAGAGAGAGAGAGAGAGAGAGAGAGAGAGAGAGAGAGAGAAAGGAAGGAAGGAAGGAAGGAAGGAAGGAAGGAAGGAAGGAAATGAGGGTGGTTTAAATGTTGAACTTCTTCAAGAAGTGGGCATTTTTAAATAATCTTACAATGGATTAGGTTTCATTATGCATTTTTCAAACAAAATTTTTGTTATTTTTCTCCCTCTCCCCCACCTCCCCTCCATCCCTATATCCCCCTTCCCAGTAGTCTCCTTTCCACTGTCATGTCACATCTGACCTCTTAACTACCTCCTTTTCCCAACACCTCTTGTTCCTCTCTCGTGGTCTGCAATCTCTTCTCATAGCCTATACCCACTCTAACACCCCTTTATTTACATACATACAAACATTAAAAGCTAAGATTCTCATATGAGAGAGAACATGTAATTATATTTCTTTCTGAATTTAGATCACTTCACCTAATATAATGTTTTCCAAATCCATCGATTTTCCTGCAAAAGTCATGATTTCATTTTTCTTTATAGCTAGGTAAAATCCCATCATGTATATAGACCCCATTTTCATTATCCATTCTTCTATTGATAGACATCAGGCTGGTTCCATTTTCTTGCTGCTATGAATAATGCAGCAGTAGACATGGGTGTGAAAGTATCTCTGTGGTAGGATGTGGAGTCCTTTGGGTATATGCATAGGACTGGAATAGCTGGGCCATACAACTCCATTTTAAATTTTTTGAGAATCCTCTATACCTATTTCCATAATGACTGTAGTAGTTTACACTTCCACCAGCACTGGGTAAGGGGTCTTAATTCTCTTCATCCCCTCCAGCATTTATTACCATTTGTTTTGTTGATCATATAGCCATTCTGACTGGGGCAAGAAGAAAATAAAAGGTGATTTTAATTTCCATTTTTATTTAAAGGATAGGCCTCTAAAAGAACATTTGAAATAGTTGATTGCTGTGATGGCTTAATTTGAACTTGAACTCAAGTGACTTGGTATTTTCCTCAAGTGACTCTGTAAGCAGCCAGGCTGGTGAATGATTGTGTCATTTACTTATCTCTTGTGTGGGACTGGTGAATCTGGTTAATGCAGTCAACAAACTGTTCAAAGTCTTTATCCTCCAGGGAAGGACAGCCACTGACTTTCTCAGTCAGCTTGAAATAAATATTTACCAAGTGCCTCTGATGTGCAAGCACCAGAAAGAAAAAATGGAATGTGTAGGGTAGCTTCATTGCTCCCTCACGTGCATAGAAATCCAGTGCTATGCAGCAATGTAGGAGAAATGTTTGAGAAGAAGGACAAGGTAGGGGTTTCTAAAGATGCACAAATTCAGGTTGCTCTCTGAAGGATGGAGAACATCCATCATGGCACTGAGGGGGCACTAATTTCAAAAAAGAGGTATACATGGGGCTGGAGAGATGGCTCCATGGTTAAGAGCACTGGCTGCTCTTGCAGAAGACCCAGGTTCAAATTCCAGCACCCACATGGCAGCTAACAACTGTCTATAACTCCAGTTCCAGGGGATCCAGCAACCTCTTCTGTCCGCCACATGGTGGACACAGGTGCACTTACTTACATGCAGACATAACACTCATACACATAAAATAAAAGTAAAGAAATCTGGGGCTGGAGAGATGACTTAGTGGTTAAGAGCACTAGTTGTTCTTGCGGAGGACCCAGGTTCAATTCCCAGCACCCACATGGCAGCTAACAACTGTCCTTAACTCCAGTTTCAGGGGATCCAACGACCTCTTCTGACCTCCGCAGGCATTGCATGACACAGGTGCACTTACCTACATGCAGGCAATGCATGCATACCCATAAAATAAAAATAATAAATTTTAAACAAAAAACATAAAGAAATCCAAAACATTTTTTAAAGAGTAACAGAAGGCTTTAAGAGATAGAAAAATATAAAGACTTTTAAGGTATAAGGACTAGGCTGCAGTGGAGTGTTCAAGAACAGTGGATTGGGGCCTGCTGGGAAGGATTGCATAACAATCTAGAAAAGAGAAAGTTAATGTTAGATCTTCATGACCAGATGGTGTCAGGAGGATCTCTCTGCCTCCGTATTATCTCTTCGATGTTCAGGAACTTTCCAGTAGAGACAGAAGCCTTTCAAGGAACAACCTTGAATGCTGAGCACAGCCCCCTAAAAATTTCCTGAGAGGTTTGAACAGGAATGGGACTCTGGTGCCAGGAATGAATGAGGTGAAGCTAAAGCCAGAGGAAAGGCTCTGCAGCCAGAGGACCTTTCGTGTGCACTGTCTTCTCCTGCTGTAAAAGGGAACTCTTCATGGTCAGTTCAGAGCTGCCACTTTGGAGAACTTTGGCCTAGCTGAAACTTAGAAGGTCATAGGTTAC